CCCCGCCCCGCCTCTCGCTGTCCCTCTTGCTTTTTCCTCCTCTCCTCCCTCCCCCGGTCGTTCGGCCCTTTCCCGCCCGCGACGCCGGCTCCTCGTCCGCCGCTTTCGTCGGGCCTGCCCTTCGGCCGAGACTCCGGTCTGTCGGTCACACGCATGCCGTGCGCGCCGTCGCCGGCCCGGGCCATGCCCGAGCGCCGGGCCTCGGCCTGGCTTGCGCCCATGCTCCTTGCACTGGCCCTGCTGTGGGGCTGGTTCCAGGTGGGTTCGTCGAACAACCAGCAGGATGTCCCCTTCGCACGGGCCCCAACGCCCACGTACACCGATCCGCAGGCCGCCCGGATGATCGGGGTTTTCCACACCTCCGCGACTCCAAGCCTGAGCCAGCTGGCAGTCTTCCACAACACCACCACTTCGGTGTCCATCTTCAAGCAGGAAGCGCTCAGCCACTCGCTCAACGAGCAGTCGCGCTCCGGAGCCGTCTTCAGCAATGTCCCCGAGCAGGTACTTGGCGGCTCTCTCGACAAGAGCCATCTGAGGGAGCTCATGGTGGCTGCTTCGTCCAGCGGCCCGGTGCTGTTGGCCCTCGGCGACACGTGGGTCGGTGCCTGGATCAATGACAAGTGGGTCACCCATGATCTGCCGGAGTCCATCTCGCTACTCGACTACATGGCCCTCGGTTTGGATGACATCTTGCTTGCAGTACACTCGAGCAGCACCAACGCTTTGTACATCGTCCGGCTGGCCGACACTGGCAAATCCACGACCTACACCGTACCCGTGCCGTTGAGTGGCCGATTTGGTGGCCGATTCAGCAGACCGGATGGCTCGGCCCATTTTTTCCAGCTCTGGCACGAAAAAAAAGTCTACTTCTACGCCCTTCACGTAACTGGGAAAAGCGACCCAATAACAAGTTACTCCACGGAGGATGTCGTCATGGATATGGCTGTTGTTCCTCTGGTAGCTGGCAAGCCAGATGGCCTGGTATTTGTGATAGGCGATCGGAAGGTGGTCATCTGCCCCTGGCTCGACCAGGCAAACGGATGTACGCCGGACCGAGACAATGACATGCCTCCAGGACTTTCAACGGATTTCCAAATCCTCGCCACGCCGGTCAACGAGCTGGGGAGCACAGTGGTCGATAGGGTGCTCCTTCGACACAATCCCTCTGGCGAGATATTCCGCGTTGGGGTGATTGGTTCGGTCCGGGGCAAATGGGAACTGCTTCGCGTCCCGGTCGGCGTGGAGACCGGCCCAAAGGTCCGGCTCTTCAACATGTCGGATCCCCCCGGCAGCCCGCCATCCGACTGGAGCCTGTCCGATTCGCATAGCATCTTCATGGTGAGTTCGTTCTTTTGTGAGGCCGACTCGACCATCGAATGCGACACCGACGCCGCCGATGGCTATGCGTGCACCTCGGGCCGAGTGATGTCGCCGTTGAATTTCCCGGAAAACGTGTGTGGTGCTTGCGGCCTGGGCCTCCGCATGGACGACCTCAGTGGCGGTATGTGCCCCTCTGCCCCGCCTTCCCCGCCATTCCCCCTTCCTTTTTTTCTCGCCTCTCCCCTGCCATTGGCCTTGGGTCTTTCCCCCGGCCGGCCGATGTCCCGGGCTGCTTGTCGACCGGTGGCACCCCTTCCCGGGGCCGCGGTTTGGCTCGCGCGGCCCGGCTCCCTCGGCCGCAGATGCCCCCCCCCCCCCCCTTCGTGCGCTGTCCACTCACCGATGCCGTAACAAGTAGCCAGTCCGACATGCACAGCCTGTGGGCTGGACAAGTGCGACGTGTGCCATGGCGGCGACTGCCTTATTTGCGAGGACGAATATCTGCTGGTGCCGGCCGTGGTTCCCGGCCAGCATTCCTGCCAAAGCAGCTGCGACCCGGGGACCCACAGCCCCCCGGGAGGCGGCCGGTGTCTGGCCGACAGCCCGGCGCCGGCGGTGTCGCTCGGCCCGCCCGAGCCGCTGTTCTCGACGGCGGGCGCCTCGGTGCGGGCGGTTTTCCCCTCGCGCCTGGCCCTTTCGAGCAGCGGCAAATGCATCCTACAACCGCCCAGCTCGCTGGAAGACCCTTCGCACGGGAATTGGGTGGCCCTGAGATCCGGCGACGGGTGGCCCCTGTGGCTGGTTGCCCCGGCCCCGGGCGCCGGGGCGTCGGCGCCCGCTGCCCGGGAGATGACCTGCCCGGAGTTGATGCTCTCTAGCATGGATGTGTCCATGGCCGTGGAGCTCCCACCGGCGCCCTCTACCCCCTCCGGGGAATATGTCACCCGGCTGGTCCTGTGCACCGCCGACAATGCTGTGCACCTGGTGGAGATCACCTGCTCGCCGGACTCCGACGCGGAATGCCTCATCGAGGGCAATGTCGCTCGCAGAGCCTTGGACCGAGCGCCGCCGTGTGACTCCCTGCAGGGTGTCTCCGAGCACCAAGTGTCCATCCGGACTGCCGACGACCGGATGGTCCTCCTGTCCATCAATGCCGAGGATGGGACCTGTGATTTCACCAGTCTGCCCCCGGCCACTTGGCATCCGGTCCTCTTCCCCAGCGTGCAAGATCAAAAGCCCTCCAGTAAGTGGGTGCTCCTGTCGCACATGCCGCGCACTGGCAGTCCCTCAAGCACCCTGCACTCGATGGACCTTCTACTGGCGAATGACCCGCGTGTCCAGGTGGGCCTGCATATGGACGCCCTGCGCAAGCCGGCCGGCCAGCAGTTGGACACGCGCCACCTGCAGCCGGTCCTCCTGGCCGGCGGCTCCCAGCCACCGGGGGGCCTGCTTTTCCTGTCGGGCTTGATGTTGGTCCTGGACCATGGCCTGGCCTGGGTGGTGGGGCATGCGCCGCTCGGCGGCCGGCCGCACGGCCGGACCGCCGACATCCCCCTGAATACCGACACGCTGGGTATTCTGCCGGGGCCGCGCGACCCGGTGCCGGCCTTCGCCAGCCTGGCCGTGCGGCTCCCCGGGTCGACGGACTTCCCGGGGGTCCTGCTTCTGCTGACAGAGACCCATTTGGGCGTGGCATTGGTGCACTGTCCGCAGGGGCCCGATGCGGCGTGCTGGCCCCAGCCGGCACGGTTCTTCCCCCTCGCACTCGACGGCCCTGCGCCGGGGCTGCTCCGGGCCTCGGCGGCGGTCATGCCGATGGGCGGCCAGGCCGGCGGCCCGGGCGGGTCCAGCTCGTCCGCCCCCGGGGGCCTGGCCGTCCGGCGGAGTGGCGCCCCTGCCCCGGGGCCGGCCCTGGAAGCGGCGCTCATCCTGGCACACGAGGGCCTGGCCTCCGGGGCCATGGTGGTCTCGCTGCAGGATGACCCCTGCCCGGAGGGGACGTACGGCCCGGCGTGCGAGGCCTGCGCCGCCGGGTGCACCCGGTGCACCGGGCCCCATGCGTCGGACTGCACCGCATGCAAGCACTGGCTGCCCGGCCACGAGTCCATGTGCCTGGCCGAATGCACCGGGCCCACCAGGCCGACCCCGGGCGCCATCGACTGCAAGTGCGACACCTCCTGCAAGCAGTGCATGCCCATCTCGCTGTCCGGCAGCCACTGGGCTTCCTGCACCGAGTGCCAGCCGGGGTATGCGCTGAGCTCGCCGACGGGCGAGGCCGGCCCGCCGGCCAGGGCTCTCGAGTGTGCCCGCTGCCATGATACCTGTGAAACATGCTCGCATGCGGACGACCGCCGCATGTGCACCAGCTGCAAGCAGGGCGCCTTCCTGTTCGGGGGCGCTTGCGAGGGCCAATGCCCGGACTTCTTCTTCGGCGATGTGGCCAGCCGCTCCTGCCAGCCCTGCCTGGAAAACTGTGCCGCCTGTGCGGACGACTCCAAGTGCGGCACCTGTGCTGCGGGATTCTACCTGGATGACTTGCACACCGCCTGCATCGCTTGCGATGCCACCTGCAGCACATGCGCCGGACCTGGCGCCTGCTCCGCATGCCGGCCCGGGCTGGTCTTCCTGGAGGCCGATGACCAAGTCGACTCGCTGTGTGGCGGCGCCTGCCCCCCGGGCGAGTATGCCGGCGACACGCGCTGCACCAAGTGCCACGAAACGTGCGCCCTGTGCGCCGGCGACGCGGGGTCCTGCCAGGTGTGTGCCGACCGCCACCGCTGGCAGGCAGGCCGCCCGGCGCCGGGGGCCACGGCCCCCTGCGTGCCATGCCCGGCTGGCTGCGCCTCGTGCACCGACAAGCTGTGCCTCTCCTGCGAGCCGGACCTCTACCTCACGCACCTGGGCGAATGTTTGGGCACTTGCTCGGGGGGCACCTTCGCCGATGACGACACGGCCACCTGCCAGCCGTGCGACGTCAGCTGCGCCGCGTGCGCCGGCGGCCGGGCCGACCAGTGCACCGGCTGCTCGCCGGGGCTGGATCGCGTGCCGGCCGACGCCCCGGCCTTCGCCTGCAAGTCCCCCTGCCCGGAGGCCCAGTATCGCGACCCCCTCTCGGAGGCATGTCTCCCCTGCGACCCGGCTTGCGCCACGTGCAATGGGCCGTCCGATGGCGACTGCTGGCGCTGCACCGAGCCCGACAAGGTGCTCCAGGGTGGCAGGTGCGTGCAGGCGTGCGCCGAGCGGCACGTGGCCCAGGCCGGCCGGTGCCTGCCCTGCCACGCGTCCTGCCGGGCGTGCTCCGGCATCCGGAGCACCGACTGCGTGGACGCCTGCCCGGCGGACCTGCTGGCCCTGCCGGCCGGGGCGTCGCCCATGCGCTGCGTGGCCGGCTGCCCGGTGGGCTACAACGCCGGCCATGCGGGATGCTCCGAGTGCGTGTCGCACTGTGTCCGGTGCTCGGCCTCGGTGGACACCTGCGACATGTGCGAGCGAGGGTGGTTCCTCGGTGGGTCGGCCTGCGTCGGGTCCTGCCCGGCCAACACCTCGCCCCAAGGGGGCCTCTGCATTGACTGCCACAAGGCCTGCTTGACCTGCTTCGGCACCCAGGCCAACCAGTGTGCCACCTGCCAGAGCGAGACGCCCTTCCTGGTGGATGGGGCCTGCTTGGCGGCCTGCCCGGATGGGACCTTCCAGGATGGGCCAAGCTGCCTGCCCTGCCATGGCAGCTGCGGCACCTGCTCCGGGCCCGGGGCCGGGGAGTGCCTGGCCTGCCCGGCCGGTCGGGCCATGCTCGACGGGTCGTGCGTCGGCAAGTGCCCGAGCAGCCACTTTGAGGACGCCGGCCAGGCCGCCGGGAGCGTGTGCCGGCCGTGTGCTGCCTCGTGCGCCAGTTGCGCCGGGCCCGACGCCGACGAGTGCACCTCGTGCCATGGCATCGACCTGCTCTTCGAGGGCCGGTGTGTGGACGAGTGTCCCGCGGGGACCTTCGGCTGCAGTGCCTCCGGCCGGTGCGACCCCTGCGACGCCCGGTGCGCCGAGTGCACGCTGGCCGCCCACCTGGGGGACCGCTGCACCGCCGACTGCCACACCTGCAGGGCGGGCTTCGTCCTGTCGCCCTCGACGCACACCTGCGACGTGGCCTGCCCGGCGGGCGAGTTCACGCCGGACTCGGTCCTGTGCGCCGCCTGCGACGCCGACTGCCGGTCGTGCCACGGGCAGGCCAATGCCTGCACCTCCTGCGCGGACGCCTCGCGGTGGCTGCTGGTCGATGGGGCCGCCTGCGTGAGCAGCTGCCCGGGGGAGAAGTTCGCCGCGGCGGAGTTCCCCTCGGCGCCCTTCCCCGCGCCGACCCGGGTGTGCCTGTCCTGCGCGCCGGGGTGCCTGCGGTGCGAGGCCGGCCCCGGGCTGG